AGGAATAATCTAAGTAAGAGTGAAAAACCAGCCAGTGAAAATGAAAGATAACACACGAGGTGCTCTGCGAACAATCCAGTTCCGCTTGTGTAATTCATGGCACAAGCACGTAGTGCCTTGGCTAAGTATCCCTTTTTACTTCTTAATATAAATCTCATAATCCAGATTTGACCAACTATTATTAATAAAAAAAAACAACCCAGAAGTGGAGTGAAGCCAAGAAGGAGTCAGTGGCAATAAGAAGGAAGTCAATAAGTTCATTTTCTATTTAGCCACCACCTCAGTCCCCAATATATAGCAGCAGGACTTTTAGAAGTGCTGCATCCCAACTACTTTGTTTATCAGCACTTCAATTAGTGTCAGGTTTGGGTATTTTAAGCACCCAATGCCTAATACAGACCATCGATTCTTCTGCCTCAGAGCATGATTTGAGCACTAGTCAGGAAGGAATTTCCTCCAATGGGGAGTTAGTGCAAAAGGTGTGAATTTTGTTTAACCCTTTCTCCAAAGAGCATGACCTTTAACCACCTGAAACATCAGCTCTCTCTGCAGAGTTCCTCATCACAAGGTGAGAAATGCCAGGAATCAAACTCCCTTGGATGGAATAAACAGTTTGTTCAACACATGAGGAGGAAATAATTAGGGAAGATACCAAGGTATTTAACCACACACAGGTATAAACATATTCCTTAATATGTAAAACCCTACTCTCTTTTCTAAGTAGGGTTCTTAAGCAGTTTAGTTCCTGGCACACACCCTGACATTCTCGTTACTAAGTTTATTTTAATCCACACACAAGCTAGTAGCTGTGTTTGTAAAATACTACTGACAGCTCATTGCCTCCCTCCATTGCTGGAGACCCCAACTCAGTTTCACAATAAAGCCAACACCGGGCAGCTTCCGATATCTGCAGAGTGTTTTTCTTCTCGAGTGCACACACAAGCCAAGTGAGGAACAGGGCAGAAAGGATCCCACTGCACGGGCTGGAAAGAGCAGGAGCCATATCCCCAAAAAAGCAAGGCAAAAAGGTGAATTTCAGCTCTAACTCAGCATCAACCTGTTACATTTCAGCTGCGCTGCTCCGACGCAGGCGTACATCCTGACCTGCGCGCAACAGAACACCGCCAAGTGGGACACATTTCCATCTGATTAGAATTACTGTCAAGGATCTCATCCTGCCTGCGAAGCACAATGTTATTCAACGTTTCAACAGCAGTCAAAACACAAACTGATGTTTCTTAAAGACATGGGTATGAAAGAAAGTTAAAGCAACTGTTTAGAAAATAACCGCACCACAGCTAACTTGGTCAGGGAGAGAAAACCACACCCACGAACCTCTGAACTCCACATATCTCCCAGGAAA